ACAGTGAGGGGCCTTGGGCAGGGGGCGAGGGCACCGCCGTCGTCCTCACCGCCCTCTCCTCTCGCGCCCTCCTCCTCGCTCTCCTCGCCCCCGTCCTCGTCGTCGCCCTCCTCGTCGTCGCCCTCCTCGTCGTCGCCCTCGCCGCCCGCCTCGCCGCCATCCTCGCCGCCATCCTCGCCGCCATCCTCCTCGCCGCCATCCTCCTCGCCCTCGCCCTCGCCCCTGACGCCCTCCCCCTCCTCGTCGGCGCCGCCCTCGCCCTCGCCCTCCTCCCCGCCCTCACCACCCTCCTCGCCCTCCCCCTCCTCGCCCTCGCCCTCCTCGCCCTCCTCGCCCTCCTCGCCCTCCTCCTCGCCCTCCTCGCCATCGCCGGCGCGGTCGGCCGCCCGCGCCGCCGCCTGCGCCGCCAGCAGCGCGTTGCGCCCGCGCCCGCACGTGTGCGCCTTGTGCTTGCCGCGGCAAGCCGGGCAGTCCTTGGAGTCGAGCTCCTGTGTGGTGAGGGTAGTGGTGGCAAGGGCGAGCGTGGAGACGAGGGCGGCGGCGGCAAGGGCGGCGGGGGCGGGGGCGGCGGGGGCGGCGGCGCGGCTGGAGGCGAGGGCGAGAGCGGCGGCATGCCGGACGGCGGCGGAGGCGAGGAGACGCGGTGAGAATGCGGCGCGCAAGGGGTGAGCTCGGCACTGAATGCATGGGGAGCGGGTGTGGGCACCGCGGGTGGGATGGCAGGGCGACAGGGAGGACGAGGGGCGGGGCGGGGGGGGGGAGGGGGGGAAGGGGAGGGGGGGAAGGGGAGGGGCACAGCCGCGGGCATCCGCATCTAGGCTTGGCTCCTTGCTGCCTCGACCCCGGCCGCCGCGGCCGCCGGCGCCGCCGCCCCGGGCAGCCTTTGCGATCGCCGAGCGCTTTGGCGCGCGGCCGCCGCCGCGACTGGCGCGGCCGCGCGCCGTGCCTCGCGGGTGCCGCACCGCGCCTGCATGATGAGCGCCGCCAACGTTGGGGCGGGAGTGTGGTCTCGCGCAGCGTACTCCGAGCACCGCGTGAGTACGAGGGAGGGAGAGGGTGGATGCAGCGGCGCGCGCTCGAGAGCGGCGGGAGATATGGGGAGATATGGGGAGATATGGGGAGATATGGGGAGATATGGCGTCATCAACGGGTCGCAACCCGCCCTCCCCCGCCGCCCCATGCAACAAAAGACGGGCAGCCGGACTCCGTCTCTCCGTCGAGCGCCGGCTGGAGCGCGTCTGTCGCGTCTAGGGCTCGAGATGGGGGGAGAGGCGTGGAGATGTGGGGGAGGTCTGCGCGACTAGGGGCGCCGCACCCCCTCGCGTGCCCCCCCCGCCGCGGCTTCGCGCTGCGCCGGCGTCCGAATCCACTGCGCTGTCCGCGTCGGCCGGCGCTGCAGACAGGGACGCGCAAGCGGAGGCGGAGGCGGAAGCGGCAGCGGCGGCGGCGGCGGCTGCGGCGGCGGCGGCGGCGGCGGCGGCGGAGGCGCGCCCGCGCCCCCGCAGACCCGGCTGTCGCCGCGGGAGATGGTGCTGCTGCTTTTGCCTGTGCTCAGAGAGATGTTTACTAATACCGCTGTGTGTGAGAGCCAGTGACACACCCAATGTGTCCCAAACTGATCTTCTCTGATGGCCTAGGAGGCTTTGGATCTGCCCTCCTTAGGATCGGGCTACCCCACTCCTACAGAACACACAAACTCTCATCTCTCGGTACCAATCCTCACTACCCTACCCGGACAAGATGTCCCCCCTCCAGAGGATGCTCTCTACAGAAGAGTCGCTCCATCAATTCTATTCCGGG